TTGTTTTAATTAACGAATTTGAGTTTAAATTTTAAATTCTCGTAATTAGAATTCGGCGTGATAATTTGGACGTATCGGGTTTATCTCGGGGCACCCCGTCACCCGGGGTTTCGAAATTTTTGTCTTATCTGAATTCTGAGGTAACAGCTGAAGAGGAAAAAAACAGGGGAAAAAATTATTTCATCATTCAGTCTGTACTAAACAGCCCAAGATTAATGGTCCAGTAATTTTCCAAATTACGGAGATTAATCGATTTTTCGTATCCTCCGGACAGAGAGAATACCGAAAAAACAATATATCTTTGGATTTTGTGGAGACGCTCGAATTTCCTGACGCCAGGGCGTGGTTCTAGTTTAGTTTGAAAAAAAAAAAAAATGGGGAGTGTGGTAACCGTCGCAAATTACTTTGTCTTTCCCTTTTTCAATTTAACAATTTTCCAAGAATTCACAACTTCCTGGCCGTAAACTGACAGCACGTATGCGGAATAAAAAATATAAATGCCACAATCCGCGGGCAATTATCTCCTACGATCCTCTCCTCGGAAATTTCCAGTTTCTCACATTAGATATACAGCAAAAGGGGAGAAGAAAAGTCAGCAATTAGCAGAGTCGCGTGCAAGTGAAATCACACATGTACAGAGGCAAATGTAAGTTAATACACTGGTGCAATCTCAATTGAAGGAAGAATTATAATTTGCGTGACGGCAATGGGGGTCAACTGACCGGTGATAATGGCCTGTTGACGCCAACTCAAATCGTCAAGAGGTCACGATAACTCACCGATAACTCTTGGCAATTAGTCACTGCCAATTAACGGCCCCACCAGCGGTAAACAAGCCCCATTGATTTTTATTGCAATTCAAAAATATATTTATAAATTATCCGATAAATTTACCAAGTGATAGCAACTCCAATCAATCACGAAATAAATTACATATTTGCCCGAGCCAAGATTATAATATTTCTTTGAAGAATTTTCATTGGAGCACGAACACTCGTCTTATCGAGACCAAAGCCATTCGTCACGCTTCCAAGTACAATACAGATATTATGCAAATTTATCAGTAGATAAATTGAATAAATTGTACAGAATAATGGAATAGAAGTACTAAATAGCGAGTGTGCATGAAGAACTCAGAGAGATGGAAAATGAGTTACGTACTGTACCGCACAGCGGTTCAAGTTTTTTGCCTCATCCTCCATTTGTTTCGCGCTGACGAGGGGAGAAGCTTTATAATTAGGCCGTCCGATAAGGCACCACCAGTCCCAACAAAACAACTTTTTGTTAATAATTAATGGGAATTTTAATTGCCAAGGCATCAACCGCGAGAAACCCGGGGCGGTAGGGAGAGAAATTAATTACGCTGATTGCCTTCCCCTCATCATCACGGTAACTCCATCAGTCTTACAATAACAAATAAATTAATTATCCCACCGAGGAAAGAGTTGAAAATCTCTATTTGTATTTACATAAACATAGGAATCTGATAATTGTCATTTGTGCGGTACCCGAAAAATCTTTGAAGAACCCGAGCTCGATTCTTAATCCACAAGTAATCCGAAAGAGCGACCCTCACTCGTACCTCAGGATTTACAAATTGGATTAGAGTATTTCGTCAGTGTGAGATGAAAGGTGGTGGGAGAGTCGCATGTAAAACAACCAGCGGTACCTCTGATGGAGGTTCACGACTTAAGTCTGTTGGTATAAGTCTTCTTTTGGCCAGAGCCTCTTGTATAACCCTGTGCGGCTTTCTCGCCCCCTTTTCGTTTGTATATTTCCATTCGCGCATACCTGATGGTTTTTCAACGATGGTATAAGCGCATCGCACATAAGACAACCACCCGGAGGACAGAAAACCAAACTCCAAGGGTGGAGCCCACCCGAGAATCTCACGAATTTTTCTCAGACCTGTTAAGTCGACTAATCCCATGCAGATTAGAGTCCATGTACCGCCTTGTCAAAACTTGTCACCGCAATAACCCCTGAATAAACCCACCCAAAGATTTCAACAAACAAAAAAGAGAGGGAAAAAAAAATGCCACTCGCTCACCACCCAGATGACAATCTCTCAATATGAAAAAAAAATGAATAGAAAAAAATAGTGAAGCATCTGAATCGAGCTGCGTACGTTTAAATAAAGCCAACTCGGTCAAATTTCTCATCCGGAAGTCTGTATCAGCAGTGAAGCGAGCAAAAGGGTGGCCACCCTCTAAACTACCTCCACATCAACACCCAGCACGTGTAGTCCAACAGCAATACAACTGCAAAATCCCTCCCCTCACCCTTTGACGCCGGCACTTCTATACAATCTCGTCCACCAGAGAATTCTCGACGTATTCCCGGTATCTCTCACGCTTCGCGGCTATTTCTATGGGGACAGACGCCCGTCTAATTTCCTGCCCTGAATTTCGAACTACCGAGATTTCCACCCGTCCTTGACACATCAACGATTACATCTCAAATTAATTTCTTCGCATGTTAGGGGGAGGAGAAAAAAATATCCACCATTCTCCCAAAGAGTCTCAGCATTTTCTATAAAAAAAAGTCAATGGAGAGAACGAAGAGGGACTTTTCAAAGGGCCCATTAATTTTCAATGTGAAAGAAATCCGACACGTCTAGTTTCTATAATAGAATTGTTATGAATTCCATATTAATAGGAAAATAAAGAATAATAGAGAATGAGATGACGCGTGGAAGGGGGATGGGAGGGTGAATCGGTCGCGGTGCGTTAACTTCTAGGTTTAATACATCCATCTGGTTATGCAGCACGCTCGGTTGAATCGATTCTGGTCCAGGCTCCCATGAACACCGTCTCCAATAGGATTCTCGCCGTCAAGGCACTACAAATCATCCCTTGTTCCATTATTTTCATTTTTTTATGACTCATTCAACACCATATTGAATCTCAAGACTCATTGGTGGACTTGAAAAAATCAAAAAAAAAAAAAAAATGGAAAATCGGGAAATCGGGAAATGGGAGATTTCATTGTTTTTTAGGTGTTTCCAGGTAAAGTCCCCAGGTAAGCTCCACCACCAGAAACAAAAGTCGTAAAGTCAAGTTTGCGATGCAGGTCACTACCTGAAGGTCACCCCGTGCTAATCCCATTTTTCACATTGGTACGGGCGTCGTAATCCGTGTTTGATATTTTAGGATTTCATTTTTAAGGTTTTTCCCCAGAGAGGGAAAAATACCACGGGAGTAACGCCCCCACCCTGGTTAACAAACACCAGAGAAAAACCAGGTAACAATATTGCTAATCCGAAAACATTGACGAGATAAACTAAATCTCATCTGTAAGACGATCGAGAGTGAGACCCAAACCACTGATTCCCCTGTTCTTTCGACAATGAGTATTAGAGACACCCCATTGTAGTCACCTAAACGTCCACTATTATTTCGTTAAACTGTAGGCGTGGCGCGAATTTCAAAACCCTCCCTCCCACTACATTATGGGGACAAGCATTTTTCACCCAAGGGAATAGAGTACCTTTCAGTGGCATCACGTATACCAAACAAATTCTAAAAGTTCATCCAAAAGATACTAATTCCATTTGATCCCCACGATCCGATTCCCAGTGAGTCGATAATTTTTCCAAAATTACCGCGTGGGAGCAGGTGATGATGAGATTCTAAATGCTACTTCGAGGGGCATAAAGGAGGAGAGAGAAAAAAAAGAAGTCCCATTGAATCGAAACATCATAAAGACGAGAGGACCGGAGCGATTCGAGAGTCGTTTAATCAAATATAATAGTGAGTGGTACCGGAAGAATAAAAGGGACGGTAGTTATATTTGAGGGGTAGTCGTTGGAGCGTGAAACGCCAAACTAAACGCTCACTGATCGACCAAATATTATAATGCCATATCATATAGACTCATCCCCCAGCAGACGCGTGGAAAAAGAAAGAAAAAAAAAGAAAAAAGTCGCGCACACACAGACATCGTCACAAGTAGATAGTTAAACGGTTAGCTGGGGATGTAACAAATGTATATAGCTGAGGGGTTGGTTGAGAGTGTAGAGGGCAAAAAGGAGCCATTATGGTGGCTCTTCCTCTTCCTCTCCCCTCTGGTAGTCAGATAGACGGTGAATCTCTCTCTCGCGTTTATAAACGCGCCAAGGGGGAAGGTACGATCCCTCGAACGCATCTGCCCCATTATCCCTGATGGTATATCCCTTGGTATACACTGGACCATTAATCCTCGCTAAACGACAGCCATTTTGTATCTAAACTGGATTGCCAACTCACTAACTGGTTTCGAGGACATTTAATAGACTGTACGAGGGAGCCTATTATGGCCTACCCACTGGCTATAGCCTCATCCTCTGTCATTTCACCTTGTGTCTTCGAAAAAAAAAAAAAAATCAGTAAAAAATATTTTTCTCCCCCATTTCACTCTCCTGGATTTAAAATTCAATTTTTTTCCCTCAATTCCCTTTTTTTTTTACCCACATTATACTTCCAATAATCCACTAATTATTTCTACTCCTGCATTTTAATTACCCCGACTATTGTTAAATTAAATGAATAAATGTAAATGGAGTAATTGCTCAATGTGAACTGATTGAGAAAAAATAAAATAGATGATAGAAAATAGTTGGCCTATGCTCGGAGCGTATCCGTGAATTAGGCAATTAGGAGTCGTCACGTTCACATAAGCAAAATCAGTTGGCTCCTGCCGGAATCGACGATCACACGTTCAAGTGAGATAGACATAGGAGACAGTGCGAGGAGCAAGGGTGTAAGTAGTGTTGGTAAATTGATATATTCGGGAGAGGAATGGCTATTGGTCAGAGGTATGGAGTGGTAACGCCCCTTGTAGAAACGCCCGTGGAATGAGCAAGTAGTGATGGTATTGGTTGGGAGAGCTGATGGCAGTGAGTGGAAGTGGTGGTTTAGTATTGGCGGGGGCGGTGTCGAGATGGCGAGGCGGTGTGAACCTCTTTTCCCCGGTTGCACGTTCGTCCCGAGACAGGCGTAATCAGTGCCGTTTATGCGGCAGCAGTGGCAAGCCACGCGCAACGGAGGTCAAAGGCTTCTGCCAAATAATTCAAGTATTATTTTATTTAAAATTAATTAACGGATTTAATCGAGAGAGTGAGATTGAGTGTTGATTGTTTAGGGAGCGATATGGAGACGGTGGTTATTTCACTAATTGTTGTGATGAAATCAGTGCGTGAGGATATGAGGAATGAGCAGTGAGAGGGCAATGATAGGTATTATTGATATTTGATTGATGAACGAATGGGGTGTGAAGGGTGGTGGGTCATAGAGTGTCGAGTATGAGTAACATTGAGGGATTGTCCATGCAAGGAGCTAGTGCAACTCCTGCATCGGTTGGTGGTGGTAGTGGCCTGTCGGATGATGCTGATATGGCTAGTCCAACGTCAGCCTCGAATCCAAAACCCAGAAGTGGAAAAATTAATTTCAGTGTCGATGCACTGCTGAGTGGAACGAAAAAATCACCAGTTAATTTCTCGACGCGAAGGAGCGTGGAGAATGGTGATGATGGGGCGAGTGATATATCGGAGAAGAGCAACGAGATGCAGGACGAGGCAAGGAGGTATAGAGATTTTTTGTTGATGGAGCAGGAGCGCCAGCGAGGACTCCAGAGTCGTGAACTCCTAGCAAGACTGAGTCCACTGACACCAAGTGGCCTATCAGCATTCCCTAGTTTACATCACTATCATCATCAGGTGCGCTGCAATGCAGCAGCTGCTGCTGTTGAGGATGTCAAGAGGGTGAACACTGAGCGACAGGATACGATAACCGTTAAGGACTTTTCAAGAACGGCAATGCACGAGGAGTCATCGTCGCCCGTCGGCCTTGCTGATGACAGACTGAGTGGTAATTCTAGTGGTACCTCACCTAAACCTTTGGCACGTCGGACCGAGGATGAAGATCTCGACGACGACGACATGGACGACGACAGAATCACCTCTAATCGATCAGTATCACCAATAAGACGTGAAATAGAAAATGATAGGAGTGATTCTGAAGCGCCAAGATCGTTGGAGGGTGATGGTAGTTGTGAGAGACTGATGGAAGTTGGTAGTGGTTCAAGATCGGAGGACTTAAATGTCATGGATTCTGATTGTGAAATGGAACGTGAAGTGGAGGGTGGTAGACACGAGAAGGAAAAATCCAGTCCCGTTGTACCACAACCAATTCACCCAGTTCAGAGGCCACCAGGGCCTTATTTAAGTGGACCAGCACCAGGATGGTCGCCCACGGGATTTCCACATTCCTTGGCTGGATTCGCGTGGCTACCCCCACCTCCCCATCCACATAATCCCCATGGACATCTGTATACGCCCCAGGGTGGACCAACGAGTCCCAACGGTGAGCAACGCCCCTTCTAATCACTATTATTAAAACTATCGTTGAAATTAATTTTAAAAATACCCATTATTTTTCAAACTCGTCGTATTTCACATTTTTCGTCAACGAATTACCAGACGTATCACGAGCAATACCAGTATATCGAGGAAAATTAGTAGAAATTAGATAAGGAATGACAGGTCTCTGATGTGCCTGGAGGCTTTGCAAAAATCACCTCGAGTTTTTATTCCTTTTATGTACAGTAATAAAAGGAAAAACTCTTTCTTTAAGGGTTTCGACTAAACTCTAACGACGAGTACGACGTGTCGAGAAACTCGAGTTTTTCCCAGAAAGAAATCTCAGCAGACCATTCGCGGGATTCTCGATAGTGTCCGCGAAGGAACGTTGTCACTCTTACATGGTATTTACTGTTTGCAGTGTATGCGTACATGTCGTCAAGCTAGGAATACCCGGTTGTGGCTAAAAGACCACTGAATGCATTTTTTTTTCAACCCCTCCCCCAGCCCCAGTGTCATATTGAACATCCATTAAATCCTAAACGAGATATAAAGTGAATTTAGGTATTTTAATTCAATCAATCAGGGGAGTAATGAATGAAGATAATAAATGAGATGATATTCAAAGTCAAACAAACACTCGAATGTCGTGTATCGTGATGTCTAGTCGTTAAAACAATCTCCGACAGGTCTTCCGACGTACCAGGATCGTTTATAACTGTGCACACGCGGCATTCTACACACAAACTCCGTCCGGTCTCAGTAGTCCAAGAATAAATTAATGAACTAAAAGACCTCCCCATCTGATTCATTTCTATCTTGCCAACATATTCGTACGTACATGTGTCTAATGAAGTTTTCAAAACGATTTATCATCCCGCCATTCATAATAACAGGACAAACCTTAACAACGCATCTAAATTGAGCTCACAACCAATACACAAACGACATAATCAATTGGCACACGGTAAAACATATCAACCTTCACTCTAAATCCCGGGACAATTCATTAATCGCTAACTCGTTGATTGGTTAACCGCGTAAAACAGGTAAGAGGGGGAAATAAAATTGCGAAAACAATAAATAAACGCAAATACACCGGAATCGCTTATGCAAGAGGCAATCCCATGTAATTTGTATCCCGGATGAATCTTGCAACTCGATCGTTTGGTGCTTATGTACTTGCGACGTTTCTCTGGGCCCGCGGGTAATTAACGGGAATTAATTAGCGTAAGAGAAAAAAATATACCCGTGGCAATCCGTTCGCTCTGAATGGCGATGCGGCTGGTATACACCCAGTGGATACACTGGTATATGCAGGTTAATTTGCCGCATTGCGCATTAGTAAACGCTTTATTATACTACCCAACGATTTGATAAACCAATGGTGAAAAAAAAAAAAGGCCAGTTTAAAAATGCCAAGTGTGCAACTAAAAAGACTTTAACGATGTCCCGACGCGACAGATCAGCACATCGCACCTCCATGTTTTTTTCCTGTTCAACATTAATTGGCGGCCTTTACTTTGTAATAATTACACCGAACTAGTTCAAAGATTAGAATCGTTAATTAACCGGTGGGTGATTATGAATAAAGATGGGTTGAAAAAAATTTATCGTGGATTGAATAAATTGATAATTAATCTCGTAGGTGACCTGAGATTACCGGGACCTGGGCCAGGACCCGTGAGGTGCACCCTGAGGAAGCACAAGCCCAACAGAAAGCCAAGAACGCCTTTTACAACTCAACAGCTACTCTCGTTGGAGAAAAAATTTCGCGAGAAGCAATATCTCACGATAGCGGAGAGAGCAGAGTTCTCATCCTCGCTTCATCTGACTGAGACTCAGGTAACGAAATCAGAGTAATCAGAGTAATAAAACATGGCCGGGGTATGGGGTATTGCACCCCCTTTTTTATTTTTGTCATGGATTTTTTTTTTTCGGCTGATGCCTATATATTGTACAAGGTACGAACCCGTTATCGAGTAGACTAGCGTGTCGTAATACACTTTGGCCATTGGTAGCAATGCATCAGGCAAAATGAAGCTTCGTAGCATTCATTTGCTTAGATAAGCCTCACTCTGCCTCCCCCAAGGGGTGTGATCGTATACCTCGGTACAATAGAGTACATTAATTCACGTGAAACATAAAAAGGCCAGAGCCATGTCTTGAGTCTTGCATTAGACGTTAAATTAATAGATCCGCTCGGCAACATGATTAATTCCACGGTTTATTTTATTACCCAACAATATTTTGACTAAACAACCGGTACTGAGTAAATTTAATGAATGATGAGACGCGATATATCGTGTACTAATTTCCACATCCTCAATACTCAACTCGTAACTTGACGATAAAAATTGTGAGAGGATGAAATAAAAAATTAATTTATGGTTACAGGTGAAGATATGGTTTCAAAATCGTCGGGCTAAAGCGAAAAGATTGCAGGAGGCAGAGATTGAGAAGTTGAGGCTGTCAGCGAGACCGTTGCTGCACCCGAGTTTCGGTACAGGTCTCATGTTTTCAGCGGGTGTTGGACCACCAGGTACACCAGGTGGAGTACCACCATTCATAGCAGCAGCAATGGCAAGACACAGTCATGCTGCTGCTGCAACTGCTGCCATGTTTATGGGCCCACCTGGTCATCGGCCGTGAGTCCCTTATCCAGCAATAGTTCAAATCAAATAAAACTCAAATCGTGTACTTAAATTGAAAAATTTATAATGTAAATATTGTATATAATTGACGATAGTTATTGTACGGAAAATGTGAGTATCACCGGATTGGTGGGTGTAAATAATAATTCAATAGTGAAAATGTCGTTTACGCGGATCTATAGATCTTTTACACGCTTTCAGTCTTATAATCGACGACGTACGATCGAGAGGGACTTTATGCGACAGGCAAACGTACTGGCTACGTGTTCAATTTAATGCTAATCGGGCGTATGTCGAGTTAAGGCCAGCAATCCACCAATTTTCATTGACTGAGCGTGTAAATATCCATAGATCAAAAACACATTAAACTAAAAGAAAAAAAAAAAAAAAGAAAACAAAAGACATGGACAAATATGTAAATTATCAATTCCAATGGAACACGTAATTTAAAATCTCCGCATGACGAATGTCAAGGGGTGAATCAGTTGATGACTGAGAAATGAAAAAAAAATTCCACAAAATACTGAAAACTGTATAAATGTAACATTAAAGTTTATCCATAAAAGAAGAGAGCAAAAAAGCTGAATACGTTCTAGAGTAATAAATTTCAATTTCAATATTTAATTGAGCCTTGTGTGTACTTAATCCGAAAAGAAATTCGCAACAAATTGCTGCAATTATTCTGCGACTAGTATAAAAGAGAGAGGTAGAGGGGGAGATGAAAAAAAAAAAGAAAAAAAGAGGGAATTCATGAGGAAAGAGTTGACTGGCCGTGTGGGAACGACATTTGCAGGTAAGAAAAGTACATTTTGAGAAAGCATTAAAGACCAGTAGGATAAATAATGAAGGAGCACGAGAGAACATTAAAAATCAAGCATTCGCGTCACACATTTACGTCCTGAGGTATTTGAAGGTAGAATGCAAGTTGGAATAAATGAAGGGGGTGGTACAAAGGGGGTGGTGAGGGAGGAGGAAGAGGAGGAAGAGAAGGAGGAGGAGGAGAAGGAGGAGGAGGAGGAGGAGGAGGAGGAGGAGGCGCCAATATAATATGTTTTGTTCGGCATTAACTTAAACTCGAGTGTTTCCCTTATATGAAATTTATGGACGCGTTGATCACTGAGAAATCGTCGCATATAAAACGAAGTAGGCGAGGCGCTCTCGGGTGCGCTGACAATTAATTAAAGAATAATTTCTTGTCTTTTGAGATATACCTGTGGCGGTATAGGGGTATCGCGTCAAGCCGTTTACAGTTGGCGGCCAATTATACCACAGGACAAGAGTGGAATACCAAACAGGTATGTGAGAGCGACAGAAACACCCGAGAAAACGAGGGCCAGAGTGCAGCACACGCGCAGGTTAACTTTGCGCGTGCACTTGGTGATTTCCTCTTATTTTCTGTTGTAGATACCGCCTCGTTAAAACCCGACAATTATCCGTGAAGAAGAAACCCAATATCGTGCAATATTCAACAATTTCATTGGCTAATCCCCATGGAAAATCCCCAAACGCCGATTTATTGGCGAATCAAACGGCATTACGGCTGAAAAATTCATTAGATTCGACATGACCAATTAAAAAAAAAAGCCAAATGTCCGTCTCATAATGTAATTTTTTTGACGACCAAAGAGAAGGTGTACGTGTATAAAATTGGCATTTAACGCGTGAATCGGTGGAATAGGGCTCTCTCATTCGGGGGTTTATCCAAATTAATTGGTCGTAAATTAAGCGACGGTTCCCGTGAGAGAGTAGGACGGTGAAATAGCGGTGGACGATGAGGAGTGAGAGATAGCCGGGGCCCAGGAAGGCCCCTTCCCGGGTCCCCGATCATCGCAAGATGAGGAAAAGACGGAGATGGAAGGGATCCAAAGAGGTTTTAAGAAGAGAGTTATAGAGATGGTAGAAGGAGAGGGAATGAGGGATTTAAGGAAGGATTCAGTGGGGCTTGGTATCGACTGCGGGGACAGTAGCGCATCGACACGCCATTATGTGCCGGCCGGGACTAATTTATACAAGCAGAAAGAGAGGACGGACCCACGTAGCACACATAAGGTAGTTAAACGAGCGAGTGAGCTAAAACATCGTGGCATCGCGCGAGGCATTAGGGAAGGAGACCCCTAATTGGAAGACCCGTCCCCTGGCCCCCTTTAAACCCCCCCCACAACTGCACTCTCGTGTCTTTTTCCGTGTGTAACGATCCCCCTGAATTCGTGTCCCAATGAAATTGAGACGGTTATGTATCCCATATAATATATACTCATTGCCCATATCCATGCACCAACACATATCACCACCATTTTCTCCGAAAAATTATCCAATGATAAGCCGATAAATAACGGCCCATTGCCATACCTCCACTAAAAATCCGTAAAATTAATTGGACCCGAGGAATGAGGCAGAAATTAATAATAATCACGTCCTTCAAGGGCTCGAATGCACATAGAAGGATATTGGTGAAAAATCACGTCGTCGAGTCACGTTCCCGCGAATGCAACAGCATTGGGAAAGAAAAAGGCACCCGGAGAATCCTTGGGCAATTAGTCGATATTTTAATGCGAAAAAAAAAAAAAAAAATTTGCTGGCTCGTTATATGCACGTATATATAGGTTGGTTGTACCGGTTGAAGAGATGTAGAATGAAGTGAGAGTGAGGGAAGGAAGGCGGTCATTCGCCACTTCCCAAAGGACCACCAGAAAAAGCGCCAAGTCCCTCAACACAGGTTTAAGGGATGACTCTTGGCGTATAGGTGTGTGTGTGTGTTTGAGTGAAACAGTGAAGGAGAATGAGGTCTTGGGGAGCCATTGGATTCGCCGCGGCACCTTGTTAGCGCAACGATTCTCCGCTTGACGCCAACTGTCCGATAAATAATCCTCCAACGGACGTTAACCCGATTGCCTGTCCCTTAGCACGCATCTATCCCTCCTTAACTATATCATTACATTTTCCAATTTACCATTTCATCGATTTACTCTCCCACCCCTCGCGCCACCCCATCAAAATTTCCTCTCTCTTCGCCCGAATCCCCAATCAATTGACCGATTATTCGTCGACTCTGCTCAACATCGAGGCTTGATAATTCCAAGGAGATGCTCGAGAGGAAAAAAAAACCTCCATATAGATAGATTGTGCGATACGCAGAGAGCGCATTCTGTGTGTGAAAGCGATGACAATCTCAGTGTTGAAAACATGCAGTAGCCAGGAAAAAAATGTCAAAAAAAAAAATACGGAGAGGATACGAAATACGGAGGAGGGAGAGAAAAGGATGAGGCTGCAGAGTGGCTTCAGACACAAGAATATATCGAGTGGGCTAGGTGTGGTCCGGAACGTGAACCAGGGATTTCCAGGAACGCGAGCCATTAGACCCCTCTCGGTCTGGTGTTATAAATTGTACATCGTTTAATTAGGCTCCTCTACCTGGCACAGTCTCATCGTGTGTCGACCACCAATTATTTATCATTTATCCCAGTGAGTTTTAACAACTTTGTCCGAGCTGATCAACAATTATAATACCCAATGCACGATTTCAAAATAAACTGAATGAAAAATCAAGGAATTATTACTAAACCTCAATTTAAAAATCATACCTCATCAATAAAATAACGGAATCCCAATGGATCATAACCTGCGGAAGTCCTATCTCATACCATCATCAAATTACAACCACTAATTGCCCCCTGAGTGGTATACGAAGTGAAAATGAAAACTTGAACATAACTGGGACGATTTAACGGACGTCGTCCCAGCGGGTTTCTTTCGATTACTTTATTCCCCCTGGTATATATTTTTTATTTCCAAGGCGACTGAAAACGCGGTGGCAAAAATTCCACTCTTATCTCTCCTGATGAAGTGGAAATTAGTAGTCGCTACCGTACACAGACCGCCTTACACACGCAGTCGCAGTTAAAACCTTCCTCTACAATCACACTCGATTTCTCCCAGTGCCCCCCCAACCCCTCCCGCCCCC